CCGTGATGCTGATGTGGCCCAGAGTGAAAATGAGTTTGACACCCCTGGTGTGAAGCATGGAGCGTGAATCTGTGTGTGTGTGCGCCAGGCAGCGCGTAGGGGTCTAGTGAGGCAGGCCGCCTGTGCTTCGTACCCTCATTCCGTCCGATTGCCATGACGACCCCATTAATCAGCCAAGCTGGCACAGAGTAGGCTTCCCAGCCCAGCCTGAGATCAATATACACACAATACACACATACCAAATGGACACAGACACACACACACAATACATCCACAAATACAAAAATTATGAGCAGAAAGAAACGAGTGGATTAGTGAACATTAAAGAGAGAAAAGGGTGAGGAAAGAGCATAGAAGAGAAAAGGAAAATGGAGTCAAAGTCACTTCTTCTCTCCTTAAAGTTGAAAAAATAAATATGTTCCTGTGAAAGAAGGAATCTACTATAGGACTTATTATTATTTCAAAAGTATAAATCAATGTTTTCAAAATGCCCTTTTAACTGATTGCTTGTTTATCTCTTAAACCTCACATTAACTGACCTTTTAAGTTTCAAAAACAATTCTTCAAGACAAGACACAAAAGCCTAAGAGGCTTGTCCTTTTCAAGTTTGCTCAGAACTTTGTTTCTTTGTGTATTCCTGAACAACCAAGCGCATGTGGTGAATGCACCTGCGTGACAAATGACCGCCACCAAAATAAGTCTATGCCATGTCAATGAGCCTCTCACACATACACAAACTCGCACACACAAACACAGAGTGTTCCATATCAATGAGGGTGAAAGGTCTCCATTTACATCTTGTATTAATTATGAGTGACAAGCCAAAGGTCACCGAGGGAGAAGAGGCCACTTGTATGGACAGAATATAGATCTATGCTTCTACCTCTGCTCCCTCCTTTCCCTATCTATCACTCTGTCTCGCCCCCCTCTTGTTCCTTCACTTGTCTTTTCATCCCCCTCCACACTCTCTTTTGGTCTCACTCATTATTGTTCCTCTTTTCTTTTATCTCTCTTGCTTTCTGTATTATCTGTATTGTTCTTTGTTCTACCAATCTATCGCTCTGTCTTTTGCTTTTGCCCATTTCTCTCAAGTGTGTGAATATTGATGAGTTTCTCCATTCCCCTTTTTTGAGTGTCTCAACCTTTAAATCTTTATTTATCTCTTATTGTGTGTAGTAGTATGCAGAGAGGATGCTCGCCACTGTTGGCAAATATCCCATTGCAACTTTGGGTGAACTTAGCCTTATTGAGCTGCCAACTCATATTTAGACTAGATGACATCTGTTACCAGTACTATGTGTGCACGTACAGTACGTACATGAGTCTGTGTGTGCGTGTTTGTGTCTTTGGATTGAGGGGGCTTGAGTATTTGTTATTTCCTGTTTTGGAGAATCGGGCATAGCACTAACTTGTGGGTAGGTCCCTGGAGAATAGCAGGCAGTGTGTGTGTGTGTGTGTGTGTGTCCTTAGGCCCCTCACCGGCAGACAGATGGCACCAGCACCACAGGTAGAGTCCAAATTTCTTCACATGCATCACAAATGACAATAGACACACACACATCTATCTATCTATCTATCTATCTATCTATCTATCTATCTACTGTTTATTATATTTATCGACCATATACATTGTGATCAAAGAGGAGACTCCTCACAGATAAATGCATCCATGCTCCCATCATCTAGCATTCCCTGTGCATGTGTGTGCATCTACTGTATGTGTGGATTTACCTCAACAGTGAGAGCAGTAACAGCAGTTGAGTTGAGCGTTGGGTCCTGTTGGTGCTTCTTGTAAACCAGTTTATAATGGGAAATGAGACCGTTGGGCTGTCCCGGTTCCCTCCACTTCAGATGGGCTGAGTATGCACCTGTCAAAGTGCACAGCACGTGAGACTGTTATAGTGATTCAACACAAGAACATTTGAACCAAACCAGTTATCGTGTGAATTGGTGAACTCACCGGTGGGTGTGACAGTGGAAGAGGCCATATCTTGTGGTTCTGCCTGTAAGGTCTGAGCTAAAGCCCACTGGCTCAGAACTGAGCCTTTGGAGTTGTGGGAGCGAACCCTGTACTGCAGGAAGCTGAAGGGTCGCAGGGCAGGGCTTGCATCATAAAATTCAAGCGGCCCACTGGACCAGATAAAAACCAGCAGCTCCTCCTCTGTTCCTACTGGACGCCTATAACAGAATAAATACTTGGACCAGACATTCATGAAGCCATCTTCAATATAGTTTTGTACACTTTTTATACATCTAAATAATATAGTTAAAGTTATGTTAAATTGAAACCGCTTAAGTTGTTCTGAATATATGAAAAGCAGCACTTTAGATATGTTTGAATAAGTGATACAGTATTATTTTCCAAGCATTTTTGGGAAGCTTTGGCTACCAAAATATTGCACTATTTTTTAAAGTAAACTTTCTATTTGTACCTGTACTGAAAGTATATTGACATTTCAAATGTTGTGTATATTCAAAATATACTGCTTTGAATGAAATAAAAAAATGTATTTTATCTGTTATCTAAAAGCATTTTAGTATACTTTAGTGCACTGAAAATAAGCACACTTATTTTGTGTGGAATTGAAATAAGAAATGTAACATCACGTCTCAAACATCATGTGTAAGTAAGTCCCTGGCTGATGCAAGCACACTGATGCCTTGGTAAGCCTCTTTGTCTGTGATTATGTGCGGTTTCAGGTGTGACTGTGAGAGAGAGATTTTTCTATTTTATCCAAGTCCCTGTCTGCCTGAGTCTGATCATGCCAGGTGTGTCAGTGTGTGTGTGCGCGTGTGTGTGCGCACACTGCTATGCTAATGTGTGTTTCCTGAGGACTTAAAGGGCTTAGTCTGGTCTGACCCTGCATACAGATCACACAGTCTTTGGTCAACAAGCAGACCACGACCTTCAGCATGCATTAATACATACTCGCAGATGCACACGCACACACACACACACACACACACAAAGTACGTAGATTGGTAAGCAGACTTTTGCTTGAAGATACGTATATCCCTAAAACGTCTATGTTTTTCTGTATGTAAAGGTAACTATGTATATTATATGTATGAACAGAGTGTATGATTAATGTATATTACTTCTGGTTCATAAGTGTTGTAGTGATAGACTGAGTAATGTGAGTTCATTACATTGGTTTGTATGAATAGGTTAGAATGTGAAAACAGCTTTTTGTATGGTGCAGTAGTTTCTTTGTCTGCTTGTCTATACTTCATGATCTACTTTCTCATAATCAAAGGAGACTTGCTCCTCCAGACAGACAGTCATATGACAATAAAACACATTGCATGTCCAACTATGGCTGTTCAACTAGGATTTTTGTGGGTATAAACACAGGTTCATTAATTAATAAAAAAGTAATGTTCATCTCAAAGTGCACAACTTCAACTCAGCAGCACGAATGGAACAGTTGAAAAATGTGGCCTAAAGTAACAATCCCAGTTTTGTCCAGTAAACAAAAATTATTAAACAATTTCTTAAGTCTGTTATTAATAATAGCTATGGACACACATGATTCATTCACTTCAAAGGGATATAATGCACAATACCACAGCAATATCATTTCAAAATTTGAGGCCGCCACCTAAAAAGATGATATCCATTGTCATTGTGCATTATTACCATTATAACTGTGATGACAGTGTTGTTACACAACATCAAAATGTCTTAGGTTGAAGGTAAGGGTGGGCAGTTTGATACGCAAACCATGTGACTTTGACACTGTCTCCAGTCAGTGTTAGTGTGTTTTACCCGGAAGGCAATCTTCCCCTGACCTCAAGCAGGTTGTTATAGTTGCGATAACTAAAAATTAGAGGCTAGCAGATCCGAAAATGCTCAAGTGGTTGATGGAAAGGTTATCAGAGTAACTGTGGAAGTCAAGGGCAAACAAACTGTGTTGCAAACAACATTTGTCAGGTTCCCTCTTTAAGGCCTTCACAAACTGGGGGTCGAGGAACAAACAAAACGGAAAAGAAAAATACTTGCATGCGAATATTTCACATTACAACTATTCACGGCAGTGATGCAAATTTGCGAAAGTTACAACACTTTTTTCAATAAAATGTTCAGATAGATTTACACAGGGAGAGGACCAACCAGAGGATCCCTTTGACCCAGAGCAGCATCTGGCAGTCTGTCTGAGGTCAATTGTTGTCTAGCCTAAGCTAGTTTCCTTTTAGCGAATACTCTGAGTGAATTTGAGTTCCCTCTGGTAAACAGTCATGCGGTCTATATGTCTCGGGCTTTTATTGTGCAAACTGAAAACGGAAGGAGTGGATCTGGTATGTGCTGCCTTTGTCAAGGTTAAAAGGAGTAATACAGTTTGCCATCTTGGTTCAGACTACGGAGCCTCTGTGTTGATGTACAGTGTAGTGTAGGTTTTGAATATGTCTGTTCCACACATCGTGATTGGTGGATACCTTTATCAGTGGTGCGAAAGCTCAAAGAAATCTTAATCCGACACTTTTTTTTTTTTTTTTTTTTTTAAATGTAGCTTTTTCGCAGTATAATATTCCTGTTCTGTGTGAATTTACTCACATGAAAAAATAATATCAACGTGCGAACCCATTACATTCTTCTTGGCACAAGGTGAAATGTGCCCTCAGTGAAATTGTTAAGATCTGTCTGATGATTTATGAAGTATTTCCAGCATTTGTGTGTGTGTGTATATATACACACAGTATAAGTGTGTTTTATGTGTGTATGTTACCTGTAAATATAGTAGGATGTGATGAGTCCATTGGGTTTTTGGGGGGGTGACCAGTGGATCTCCAGGACTCTGGCTCCAGCTGCCTTTACTGTGGGGGGCAGCAGACCCTCTGGGGCGGTCTCTAAAGTCCGCACATACAATCCCTCTCCTACACCACACCCATCTCCAAGGGGAAAACAGGAACAATTTGTCACAGAACACACAAATATCTTGAGTGTATTAGACAATCCCAACGGCTGACAATCTGTCTTATAATTTTTGTAGTTTTAATTTCAGAAACTATCCTCCAACCACACCGCAATGAGCCTCTGAACTGTACGGCTGATTCCATTGTCTCTTATTTAAAACAAGGAAACAACGAACCACAAACAAAAAAATTATAAACACAAAATATCAACTTTTTTTATGCTCCTCTGTCAACGCTTGCACGATGGCATATTTTTTGAGTCAATCCGTTTACTAACAATTTCCACAAGTTAACATTGTATGAGACTTTCATTTATTTGCACGTTTTTACGCCGCACAGCTAATTGTCTTATGGATAGTGAATCTGTCAAACTGAAATCAGTAGAATCAAATACTTACCAATTTGACAGGCCTGCAGTCTGATGTGGTAGGCGGTGAATGGCTCTAGATCTGTCACAGTGAGGTGCCGGTCTTGGCCAGCAGGACACATTATGGCTCTGTCACTTCCTGGATTTAACAGGATGATGTAGTTTACAGGCTTGCTGCTGTTGAGCTGAGCTGAGGAAAAGCAGAAAGACCCACGGGATGTGATTATCTTTAGTTAGCTGTGTTTTTTGCTTTAGTACATATATCCCAAAAAAAAAACAATTTCTGTATTTCATGAATCCAGAAGGACACACCAAGCTGACCATAAAAGCAGTACTTATAAAAAGTGTGCCACCACTTTTAGTTATCTTACATTATTAGCTAAGTTGTAGATATGCTGTAATTTTGTATTGCCACCAAATCATCGACAGTGCGCAGGTATAGATGAGTGAAGTCTTTTACACCTGAACGACCTACATTTGCCTTGATGCCCAGAAATGTTTAAAAACAGTGGCAAGATATATTTTAACATCTGAAGGTCCATGTTCGATTCAAGTTGCAAAAAAGAGCAGTCAGTTGAGACACAATACAACATTTTAATCCACTACTTATAGACTCACTCAAGGAAGTCTTACTCCTTGCTGCCAGACAGTTTTTGAACATGTTAAGTAACTTCATAATGACAGAACTGTATTGTATACAATAGAGAAAATAGTTAAGACCAGGTGTTTGTATTTGTATTTGTAGTTGTCTGTATTCAAATGGTTGGATATGAATAAACGTAATTAAGGAAGTAACTATCTGTAGAATATATGATGTCCGGCAAGCGCACCTACATACTTCCTTTTGTCTTAAAACTGATCTTGCCTTCACAATCCTGGCACCTTGGCCTCACAACCAGACAAAAGCACACCAATGTATACATACAGAAAGACCCACACAGATACACACACGCACCTCGACTTTGTTAATATTCTCACCGGAGGTTTTTCCATAATTCAGGCCAACTGTATTGTGATGGGTTATTCAACATTCATGAACTCTGGATATCTCGAGAACGAACTGATTACCAGACAAATGAAAGACTTCAATTATTCACCCCCCAACTCACATATGCACACATGCACCTAAACACATACACACACACCTACACACACCTCTGACTTCAGCACACGCACGCACGCATACGCACGCACACACTCACACAGACAAACAAACACACACACAGAGAGAGATCATAATGCATCTCTCATTGATCAGTATTTTCCTCTGCCATAGATGTTTAATCGTCTGCGATATATATATTTAAGTTCTATTATTTACAACCAATCAGCTGTTTTGCCATCTCCTATTTCACACACATGATGCCCACAATTATAAATGCACACTTACATACAACAAAAATCATGCACACACATAAAGTGCGCACACACACACACACACATACACACACATACACACACACACACACACACACACACACACACACACACTGATGGAGGAATTGATCCAAAAGTAAATGTATTTTTAATAGCCATACGTCAGTGCTTTGGCAGTCAATGTATGCATATGAAGACACAAACACATGTGCATGTACGTACACACCAACAGTCACACTGTGAGAGACTCTGGCACACACACACCCACACCTCACACACCTACACTTACACCCACACAAGCCGAAAACACTCCAGACTCTGGGCTCAGGGAGTTAACCAAGCGTGAGAACCCAGCCGATATTTCCTCACCTTTAAAATCAACCCGTAATGACAATAGAATAGGCCTGCCTATGGAAATGTCTCCACAGTGATGTGCACACACACACATATGCGCGCGCACACACACACACACACACACGTATAAAGATGCATGCATAAACACAGACACAAATATTCAGAAACAAAAGACACACACACACAGTGAAGTGTCTTTGCTAGTTGGCCCTATAAGCGGTTTCTGAGATAGGAAACCAGCCTAATGAGAGAGTAATAGTCAATGATAGATGGGTTAGGGCAGACAATCACTGCCCCATAAGCATGAAACTCAGCCGTGAGTTTATGCTCGTGTAAACCTGTGTATGTGTGTGTCCAGGTCTTGAGAGGCCAGAAGGTGAATGGAAAACTACTCTGGGATTTTGTTTCAGTCTGACCCCTCTCTCTGTCTCCTCATATCAGAGGAAGAAGCTATTCACAAGAAACATTTGTGAGTATCATATTTTTTTCTGCCTTGTAGCGATAAATCCAATAAATGTGACAAACATTGTTTTAATGTTGGTTAGCGTTATTTAGACTATTGGGAAATCTCTTCATGTAAACCCTTTTTTTCCAGAAAATAACTGTAATGACAAAGTGAATGTATCGTGGTAACTCTCTTCCCAGTTCCAGTGAGAATGAAAGAATTCTACTCTTATTTAGAAAAGCTCTTGCTGCAGTGTGACAAGTGCATGTTTAGTGATCTATAAATGAGAAGGTTAAGTCAAATGGAGTCTTCCCCTCTGAAAACAGATTTTAATTTCTGACAAACACTGGATTGAGCCCCTCTGGCTCTCTGGGATCACTTCTTAGTGACTAAATTACCCACAATGCCACCATAAAGCTGTGGTAGAGTGAGTCTGTGCATGCATTGACAAAATAGGTCAGAGGCTTGACTGGTTAATGGTGCATCTAAACATCAATAGAGTTGATACGTGGAAGGAGCCTCTGGTTCTGGAAATGTTTTTCTGTAAATTTTAATTAAAAATGTTCTTTTGTTTAATGATATCGTCAATGCTCCTCAACAGTCCCCAGGATAATTTAACAATGATCAATTTTACTTTGTTTCTAAGTCTAAATGTTTGAATTGTATGTAATGTATACATTTAAAAATGTGACAGCGCCATACACAAATCATCTTTGACTTTTGAAATTATTTCTGGAGAAATACGCATGTGATTAAGCGCTGCTACAGAATACCTGAGTTTATATAAATCTTCATTAACGAACATCAACAAGTTAGTTTTATCATCAGAAATCAAAACGCAGTGTCTAATCCGTAATGCCATTTTAATTCAAACTAAACACTCTTCACTAAAAATGATTTCCATCCATCAATCCATTTACACTCACCAGGAGTGGTCCAGGCAAGAGAGATGGAGTGGGGTCCCAACACTGTCACATTGTGGGGAGGTTGGATACCAGTGGGGCACGAGACTGGTGTTTGAATAACATATTTGTCACTCACACCAGTCCCACCTCCTGTGCTGGCCTCCAGCTTGTACACATACCTAAGGAGATGGCGAGGTAAAGGGGAAGCAGATAGCAGATGAGGGTCACAGAGAAATGAGGGATCAAGGGAGAAGGAAAGAATATGCAGAAAGGCAATGTTAACGGGGCAGTTTCACACAAAACATATTTCACTTAACACACCACATTAACTGATATATTTTAATTTATTCCAGCCAGCAACATGAAGCAGGACAGCATCAGGTCTAAATGTTAAAGAGGCCCTCAAACTGGAAGCATTGCAGACCAGGGTTTATGCTGTTTTCAGGGTGTATTGTCACACTGTGAAGAGTAAATTATGGCAGCAAAAATGTTGTTTCTCATAAGCAGCAAATCAGCTCAAGCCTACCAGCAGCATGTGATACTGTATTCTACATTGTTTGGTTCGTTCTTCTATGGTTTGGTAATTTGCATATACTCAACAATGCCGTGCGTATTGTGCTGGAGACAAAATGTAGAATAACAACTAACTCAGCTCAGCTGCGCATTATACTTTCAGGGAAGGTCAGTCCAGCTGTGCAAACACAGTGGTTTCATTGATGAGGAAATCTATTTATTTTCTCGCAGTTATTATGTATTTAAAAGCGTCTGAGGTTCATCAGCGTTGTTGAATATTATTGCAACAGGATCATTAGGATTGGTAGAGGAAAAACTGAAAATTGTATGCGATGTATTTATGAACCAGTTATATACAAGAGCAGAGTCCCCAGCCTTGCATTAGCACAGGGGGGAATATATTCGGTCACTTTTAGAATTAAGTCTAAGTATTGAAAAAACATTTATTAAGAACAGCTCGGTAGTACTTGCCTGAGAACATGGATCACCATATTTTTTTTCCCCTCACTTGCCTTTTAGGACTTTGTACTTTCAATTTGTGATTAATTGATCAATTAAAACGACAACTGGAAAGACTCACAGAAATCATGGCTTCTTGCAAACGACTACCGCAAATAGAAGTCTGTATGTGTAAAGTCATATGGTGACTGCACTTGAGGTGCGTGCATCTCTCTCTCTCTCTCTCTCTCTCTCTCTCTCTCTCTCTCTCTCTCT